GCGCGCGCCAGGGGCGGCGCCGGAGGCGCCGCCGGGGGGCCCCAGCGCCGACCCGAGAAATCCGCGCGGACCTCAGAGTTTTTATGCCACTTATTGTTCCTCTAGGAACGCTACGTAGTGCCGATGCATCGGCGATGCGGCTCGATGTGGAGCCCGAGTTTCCCCACACCGACATCGTCGATGCATCGCCGATGCAACCGCGATGCATCGACGATCTAGTGCAATCCTCCGACCCCATCCACTCGGACCCCATCTAAGAGGCCTCTAGCCAGTCAGGTCGCCGGATATTGCAGGATTCTGCGGTGCCAAAGTTGCACTGACCCGGGCTTGGGCGCAGGATCCTGCAGGATACTGCATGATCCTGCAAAGCTCGACTGACCCAGGTCTGGACTGCTCCTGCTGACGACCCAGGGGCAGCGTGGGGGGGGATAGGACGCATCGGCCCCCGATCGGCCAGTGCTCGCCGACAGGGGCCTGATAGCCCAACCCAGGCCAGGACCGTGCGGATTCGCGATCGAGAGTTTACCGCCGATCTGTCGGCGATGCATCGCCGATTCCAGGTCGATGTTCCCCCCCCTGTGCTGGACCCCCCCTTATCGTTGCCCCATCGGCGACTGCGCCGACGACGACGACGACGACGACGACAACCACCGCGTCGACGTCGACGACGACGACGACGACGACGGCGGCGACGGTGACGGCGACGGCGACGGCGGCGATGGCGATGGCGATGGCGCCGACGGCACCGATGTCGCCGATGACGGCGATGATGCTTGCTTGCTGGAGGACGTCCGCATTCAGTACGCCCGCGAGTTGCTCCAAAAGGAGTTGCTGCCGCATATCGGGAGGACCGCCAACATCGAAGGGCGCAAGGCGGCGGGGGAGGGCAGCGTCACGACGACGTCGAAGGCGGAGGAGGAAGGATAGAAGGAGGATGATGAGGTGGAGGAGGTGGAGTACCACTGCAAACCCAAGACCCATCAACGATGCCGTAATCAACCCTCCCTCCAAGTTCCCTCTAACAAGCCCCTGCAAGGATTTATTTGCACTGAGGGAAGTGCCCCGTTGGAAGACGACAGCTGGTCCGCGCTGCAACACGATTCCTGGGACTTCAACGCCGCGAATCAACGTTACTGGTGCGTCCTGACGATCCTGAACCGCGCCAGAACACCATTCATGGAACTTGCCGCGAATGAACTTGGCTTTTGCGCCCTGACATCCCCGCAACGCGCCAAAACACCGTTTCTGCGACGTCAACAAAGATCGGGGATCGGGGAGGATGGAGACTCGAGGAGGCTTTAGACATCGTTGGCCGCCTTCGGGAGTCCAGGGGGGTCCATTTCGTGGTCGAGGTCGTCGACCTCCTTAGCGGTGCCCCCCCTTCGCATAGTTTGGTCAAGGAACACGGAGAGGAGTCCGTCATGTTGCGCATCGCCGCTCACCTCCAGAGCTTCTGGCAAGCAGTGCCAATGGCATGACCACGGTGAAGGGGGCCAAAGCGCCGCCCACAACCACAGCTCGCGACAGGCATGTCCCATTAGACGCAAATTGCGAGGGGGCCTTAAACATCGTGTGCCGCCAAAAGTCTTGGAAAGCATGCCAGGTTCATCCGAGACCAGGTAGCTAAGAACAAGTGTGGTTTGGAGATTCATTTGCCATCCGTTCGCGACCAGGGGAATGTATATGGGACCGTACCCTTGATCAACCAGCGCCATCTTCGGGGCCAGCGTCGCCTGGTTGAACATGAAATCACCTGTGGGCAATTCCAGCATCTGATCGCAAGTGAGAAACTCTTTGAAGGACCGTAGCGCTAGGCATCGACCATCGACGGCATTCCAGCAATCTGGCGTGAGTTCAGGGCGGGGCCTGTCATGTACCATCTACATCCCCAGGACGAAAGTGTTTTCCTCTTGGGCCTGGAAAGACGGTGTGAAGTCTTGAGCAGAACCCGTATGAGATAACCGCCGTCGGATCTCATGAAGCTCGCGCGGATCCAAATGTGGTTTTGGTGTTCGTTTCGGTGGATCCGATTTCCGTCCGTACGGATCCGATTTCGGATTAGCTGGATGCGTGTCCGGTCTTATGTTTTACGGCGGATCCGATTTCCACCTTGTTTAAAATTTATATTACTAAATTAAGCCAGGGAGCCGGAAGAAATCGGATCCGCGGACCCCGCAAACCGCCCGTGTTAAGATTCTATGGGGAGGGGGGTTCGGTAATCAATTTTCCACGATGGGCCCTGCGTCGTCTCGCGCACTCCCATCAACTCCCCGCGCGAGCGGGTTCCCTTCAACATGATTACATACATACATCCCCTCCAGTTGCTGCAAACAGCTCGTCCGGTCGCCGTCCGTTCGGCGGCGCCGACGTTGTCTCGCGAACTCCTCATGGCCATTTTCACCTCAAGAGGAAAATCGTTCGTCCTGCGTAAGTGCGTTTCGGCCCTGCGTCTCGTCACCCAACGGATTGCCTGTGAGATGTGGTGTCGGCTGTGTGGTAACCAACAACGGATTGCGCGTGAGATGTGGTGTGTCGGCTATGTGGTAACCAACGAGTCCGAAGGCCAAAACGCTCATCCCCAGGACGAAAGTGTTTTCCTCTTGGGCCTGGAAAGACGGTGTGGAGTCTTGAGCAGAACCCGTATGAGATAACCGCCGTCGGATCTCATGAAGCTCGCGCGGATCCAAATGTGGTTTTGGTGTTTGTTTCGGTGGATCCGATTTCCGTCCGTACGGATCCGATTTCGGATTAGCTGGATCCGTGTCCGTTTTTTTTTTTACGGCGGATCCGATTTCTACCCTGTTTCAAATTTATACTAGTAAATTGAACCAGGGAGCCGGAAGAAATCGGATCCGCGGACCCCGCAAACCGCCCGTGTTAAGATTCTATGGGGAGGGGGGTTCGGTAATCAATTGTCCACGATGGGCCCTGCGTCGTCTCGCGCACTCCCATCAACTCCCCGCGCGAACGGGCTCCATTCAACGTGAATACATACATACATCCCCTCCAGTTGCTGCAAACAGCTCGTCCCGTCGCCGTCCGTTCGGCGGCGCCGACGTTGTCTCGCGAACTCCTCATGGCCATTTTCACCTCAAGACGAAAAGCTTTCGTCCTGCGTAAGTGCGTTTCGGCCCTGCGTCTCCTCATCCAACGGATTGCCTGTGAGATGTGGTGTCGGCTGTGTGGTAACCAACAACGGATTGCGTGTGAGATGTGGTGTGTCGGCTATATGGTCACCAACGAGTCCGAAGGCCAAAACACTGTGCGTCTCGGCCCTGCGTCTCCACACCCAACGGATTGCCTGTGAGATGTGGTGTCGGTTGTGTGGTAACCAACAACGGGTTGCGTGTGAGATGTGGTGTGTCGGCTATGTGGTCACCAACGAGTCCGAAGGCCAAAACGCTCAGTGCGTTTCGGCCCTGCGTCTCCTTACCCAACGGATTGCCTGTGAGATGTGGTGTCGGCTGTGTGGTAACCAACAACGGATTGCGTGTGAGATGTGGTGTGTCGGCTATGTGGTCACCAGCGAGTCCGAAACCCAAAACACTGTGCGTCTCGGCCCTGCGTCTCCTCACCCAACGGATTGCCTGTGAGATGTGGTGTCGGCTGTGTGGTAACCAACAACGGATTGCGTGTGAGATGTGGTGTGTCGGCTATGTGGTCACCAACGAGTCCGAAGGCCAAAACGCTCATCCCCAGGACGAAAGTTTTTCCTCTTGGGCCTGGAAAGACGGTGTGGAGTCTTGAGCAGAACCCGTATGAGATAACCGCCGTCGGATCTCATGAAGCTCGCGCGGATCCAAATGTGGTTTTGGTGTTTGTTTCGGTGGATCCGATTTCCGTCCGTACGGATCCGATTTCGGATTAGCTGGATCCGTGTCCGGTCTTTTTTTCTACGGCGGATCCGATTTCTACCCTGTGTTAAATTTATACTAGTAAATTGAACCAGGGAACCGGAAGAAATCGGATCCGCGGACCCCGCAAACCGCCCGTGTTAAGATTCTATGGGGAGGGGGGGTCGGTAATCAATTGTCCACAATGGGCCCTGCGTCGTCTCGCGCACTCCCATCAACTCCCCGCGCGAACGGGCTCCATTCAACATGAATACATACATACATCCCCATCCAGTTGCTGCAAACAGCTCGTCCCGTCGCCGTCCGTTCGGCGGCGCCGACGTTGTCTCGCGAACTCCTCATGGCCATTTTCACCTCAAGAAGAAAATCTTTCGTCCTGCGTAAGTGCGTTTCGGCCCTGCGTCTCCTCACCCAACGGATTGCCTGTGAGATGTGGTGTCGGCTGTGTGGTAACCAACAACGGATTGCGTGTGAGATGTGGTGTGTCGGCTATGTGGGTCAACGAGTCCGAAGGCCAAAACGCTCATGCGTTTCGGCCCTGCGTCTCCTCACCCAACGGATTGCCTGTGAGATGTGGTGTCGGCTGTGTGGTAACCAACAACGGATTGCGTGTGAGATGTGGTGTGTCGGCTATGTGGTCACCAACGAGTCCGAAGGCCAAAACGCTCAGTGCGTTTCGGCCCTGCGTCTCCTCACCCAACGGATTGCCTGTGAGATGTGGTGTCGGCTGTGTGGTAACCAACAACGGATTGCGTGTGAAATGTGGTGTGTCGGCTATGTGGTCACCAGCGAGTCCGAAGGCCAAAACACTGTGCGTCTCGGCCCTGCGTCTCCTCACACAACGGATTGCCTCTGAGATGTGGTGTCGGCTGTGTGGTAACCAACAACGGATTGCGTGTGAGATGTGGTGTGTCGGCTATGTGGCCACCAACGAGTCCGAAGGCCAAAACGCTCATCCCCAGGACGAAAGTTGTTTCCTCTTGGGCCTGGAAATACGGTGTGGAGTCTTGAGCAGAACCCGTATGAGATAACGGCCGTCGGATCTCATGAAGCTCGCGCGGATCCAAATGTGGTTTTGGTGTTTGTTTCGGTGGATCCGATTTCCGTCCGCACGGATCCGATTTCGGATTAGCTGGATCCGTGTCCGGTCTTTCTTTTTTTTACGGCGGATCCGATTTCTACCCTGTTTAATAATTAAATTATTAAATTAAACCAGGGAGCCGGAAGAAATCGGATCCGCGGACCCCGCAAACCGCCCGTGTTAAGATTCTATGGGGAGGGGGATTCGGTAATCAATTGTCCATGATGGGCCCTGCGTCGTCTCGCGCACTCCCATCAACTCCCCGCGCGAACGGGCTCCATTCAACATGAATACATACATACATCCCCTCCAGTTGCTGCAAACAGCTCGTCCCGTCGCCGTCCGTTCGGCGGCGCCGACGTTGTCTCGCGAACTCCTCATGGCCATTTTCACCTCAAGAGGTGAACATCTTTCGTCCTGCGTAAGTGCGTTTCGGCCCTGCGTCTCCTCACCCAACGGATTGCCTGTGAGATGTGGTGTCGGCTGTGTGGTAACCAACAACGGATTGCGTGTGAGATGTGGTGTGTCGGCTATGTGGTCACCAGCGAGTCCGAAGGCCAAAACGCTGTGCGTTTCGGCCCTGCGTCTCCTCACCCAACGGATTGCCTGTGAGATGTGGTGTCGGCTGTGTGGTAACCAACAACGGATTGCGTGTGAGATGTGGTGTGTCGCCTTTGTGGTCACCAACGAGTCCGAAGGCCAAAACGCTCAGTGCGTTTCGGCCATGCGTCTCCTCACCCAACGGATTGCCTGTGAGATGTGGTGTCGGCTGCGTGGTAACCAACAACGGATTGCGCGTGAGATGTGGTGTGTCGGCTATGTGGTCACCAGCGAGTCCGGCGGCCAAAACACTGTGCGTCTCGGCCCTGCGTCTCCTCACACAACGGATTGCCTGTGAGATGTGGTGTCGGCTGCGTGGTAACCAACAACGGATTGCGTGTGAGATGTGGTGTGTCGGCTATGTGGTCACCAACGAGTCCGAAGGCCAAAACGCTCATCCCCAGGACGAAAGTTGTTTCCTCTTGGGCCTGGAAGGACGGTGCGGCGTCTTGAGCAGAACCCGTATGAGATAACCGCCGTCGGATCTCATGAAGCTCGCGCGGATCCAAATGTGGTTTTGGTGTTTGTTTCGGTGGATCCGATTTCCGTCCGCACGGATCCGATTTCGGATTAGCTGGATCCGTGTCCGGTCTTTTTTTTACGGCGGATCCGATTTCTACCCTGCTTTAAATTTATATTATGAAATTAAACCAGGGAGCCGGAAGAAATCGGATCCGCGGACCCCGCACACCGCCCGTGTTAAGATTCTATGGGGAGGGGGGTTCGGTAATCAATTGTCCACGATGGGCCCTGCGTCGTCACGCGCACTCCCATCAACTCCCCGCGCGAACGGGCTCCACTCAACATGAATACATACATACATCCCCTCCAGTTGCTGCAAACAGCTCGTCCCGTCGCCGTCCGTTCGGCGGCGCCGACGTTGTCTCGCGAACTCCTCATGGCCATTTTCACCTCAAGAGGAACATCTTTCGTCCTGCGTAAGTGCTACTACTACTACTACTACTACTACTACTACTACTACTACTACTACTACTACTACGACTACGACTACGACTACGACTACGACTACGACTACGACTACGACTACGACTACGACTACGACTACGACTACGACTACGACTACGACTACGACTACGACTACTACTACTACTACTACTACGACTACTACTACTACTACTACTACTACTACTACTACTACTACTACTACTACTACTACTACTACTACTACTACTACTACTACTACTACTACTACTACTACTACTACTACTACTACTACTACTACTACTACTACTACTACTACTACTACTACTACTACTACTACTACTACTACTACTACTACTACCTACTACCTACTACCTACTACCTACTACCTACTACCTACTACCTACTACTACTACTACTACTACTACTACTACTACTACTACTAATAATACTACTACTACTACTACTACTACTACTACTACTACTACTACTACTACTACTACTACTACTGCTACTGCTACAGCTACTACTACTACTACTGCTTCCTTGGTTCCAGGTGGGCGATATTGTGGCCACTTTTGCCTGCGCGGGAATGCAGTCCCTTAAGGGTTGCGAATCTCTCCAAATCTAACAAGAAATACCTTTACGTGCTGCTTGTCATTCAACGGTCAGCGCGGGCCACAGTAACTCCTATCCGGCCGCGCGCCGGGCCACACTAACACCAAATGGGCCACATTCACACCCAACGGGCCACAGTAACAACCGGGTGCACCGAAGGCCGCGGAGGGAGGAGAGGACAAGGATGAAGGGAGACAGAAGGGAGGGAGGAGGAGGTATGAGCAGCAGAATGAGGAGGTATGAAGAGAAGGGTGAGGAGGGAGCAGGCGGACGGGGAGGAAGAGGACAAAGGACAAGATGGTCTGAGGAGTGAGGGTGGGTGAGAAAGAGAAGGGAGGAGAGAGGAGGAGGAGGAGGAGGAGGAGGCACGTGACAAACACGGCGGCGGCAGCGACGACGGCGACAATGACCTCCCGCTCGCCCCTCCGCTGCGCCCAGAGCCCGAAAGGCACGGGCGCCACCATGGCCGCCAGGCTCGCGACGCTGAGGGTCGCGGCGTAGATCCTGGAGGAGTCGTCGCCGTAGCCGGAGTATCTGGGATTCGAGGCTCGATTTAGGTCGGGCATGTCAGTAGCAACGGAAGCACGAGCAGGGATTCCTTATCTCAAGGGTCCTTATCGAAGGGGTGCTTACTAGGTTACTGGAGACATCCTCAAAAAGGGCTCCTCACTGAAGGGATCGTCATTAAGGATCCCTTGATGAAGGCCCCCTTTACTAACGAACTCGTACGAAAGGCATCTTCACAAAGCCCCCAAACTAAAAGGATCTTCTCGAGCGGTGCTTTGATAAAATGGCATGTCCTCCTACAGGCGGAAATTGGAAGAAGAGCAACAGATAGTCGAGCGGTAACCAAAAATAGTCTCACACACACAAACATAAAAACAGCTCTTGAATGTTCCTCCTGTAGAGGGACACGCCCGACTCAAGGCCCGATGCAGGGACAGACCTCCATCGACCGCGCAAGCCTGCCGCTGCAGAGTTTCAGGGCCACTGGCGTGCCACCTCGTGGCGGGGGGGGTAGGGCCGACCACAGCCACCCATCGTCACCCGAGAGCCCCCCTGACACCCACCACACGCCCACACATTGGGTTCGAGGATGACGGCGGAGGATGGAGGCTCAAGGGCTAGGTTTGGCCTGTCCCCCTACAGGGGGATTTTAGACGAAAAAAAGCAGTCGAAACATACTTCAACAAGTCATCTCAAAATACTCGAAAAATCGTCCCCATGCTATCTTTGACTAGTTTTGATTATTCCCCCTGTAGAGGGGGACACGCCCGAATTAACTCAAGGGTCGAGGCTCGAGACTGTTTGGAAGAGGGGTCTTCGGGGCCTCCTCGTCGCATCGGCTGGATACGCGTCGAAATTCTGGGGACGGGTCCGGAGTGGCGACTCTTGACCCAAAGGCCAGGGATCGAGAGCAGAGGAGCCCACACCTACCACGTCTTGAAGAAAGCAAGACGGCTGTATTTCGTGATCACTTGCCTCCAAGGGCAGCCTTCGGGATCCCGGACACCAGAGGACCATCCCGAGAAAAAAAGCAGCCCCCAGGAAGCCATCGAGAGGCTCGGGAGCCCGCGCCAATGGCTCGGGAGCCCCCGCCATTGAAACAAGAAGAAGCGCCACTTCGAGGTCTGGGCCGGTTCGAGGATATAGGTTTCGGATGTGCTTCTAGACCTCAGTCTCGAGGATCCATTTCTCCAGGGCTGAGGGCACGGGATGAAGGATCGACCGTCAGGAACTTCTGGATAGCGTGTCGCCGAGGCGGCCCCGGAGACACGCTGTGGCCTGCAAATGGATGGCGCGTCGCTCCGCTCCGCGGGGCGGGAGACTCGGAGAAACTCTGGATTCTGAACCCCCTGGGGACTGGGAGGTGCATAGCGTGTCGCGCCGAGGCGCGGTGGGCCAGGACCAGCGGAGCTTTGGTGGCCTCCTGGGGTGCCCTTGCGACCAAGGCCCAATTCGCCTCGAAGTCTTGCACGGGACAAATCCAGGGGTCGACTCTGAGAAGAGGAGGGGGGCCAGACCTCCAGGCGTCGTGAAAAAGATGACGGCGGCCGGCTTTTCCAAAGATAATGGGCCCCTGGAGGTCCGCTTGGGGGCCCCTAGGGCCATCGAATAACGACCCGCGACGATAGACTAGCGCTGAGGGTGGTGCCGAGGGTCCAGGGGTCCTCGGATCGGCCACATCGCGGCATGCTGCTGTGTATCTGGCAGCTGCGTTGACCACATCAAGGAGCATGACCGACTTATGGAGCGGGAGAAAATATCGAGGGTCGGGGAGAAGGCCACTGACCAGCAGAAACGCTCCTCCTGGGAGCCACAGGCGTATAAGATACCCTCGAGAGGCTGGTGCTGCAAGAGGTGCGGCAAACGATTCATGATACATCGAAGGTGCCGCCCAGCTCGGACTCCTGTTTGACCTCCGGTGGAGGGTGTCTCTGAGCCTGGGTCTCGCCTGATGGGGGCGGCGGAGCCATCGCAGACCATCGCTCTGAGCTCTTCCACCGACAGATGAACGGCTCCTCTGGTCCATGGAGTGGGCCGGCCCGTCTCTAAGGTTGGACAGACTGGCTTGAAAAGGCCACCTGAGGCCATCTGCTTCACGAGCCGAAATCATTGTGGTAGTCGGAGGGGATCTTTGTTTGGCGACCCTACGGTAGGTATGGTGACGCTGGTACAAATATATTTGTCGAGCAGTAAGGATCCGAGCGATTTCTTGGTCTTGCAGTCATCCAGATCATGCGAGAATCTGAACAGATATCGATTTCATGGTCTTGCTATAAGCATATCAGCACGAAGTTTTCCCAGCACGGGCACTTTTGCTGGACAATCATCGGCCGATTTTAAGCAACGTTCCCTGTGGCCGATGCTCCCGCTCCCGCCAGCTGGTCCTGCGCATGGAGGCCGCCCCCCAGCGAATAAAACTCTGCGCCCTCCCTCCTGGCGCTGACGCTGGCGGCCCTCCTCCCCGCTTCCTCCTCCCCGCTCCCTCCTCCCTCCTCCATATTCTCCCCTTTCTTGGTTTACACCGTCGTTGATCGAAGCGGTCACCGCGTCCGTACCTCCTCCGCCTCTTCCTCCTCCTCCTCCTCCTCCTCCTCCTCCTCCTCCTCCTAATCCCACTGGCTCCCCCCATGAGAGTCCGACGCGTGAGGGGCGCCCGAGCACGCTAACGGGTGAAGCCGTCCAGGCTACAGGCACACTGTCCGATCTGAGCACCTCCTCCTCCTCAGAATCCTCTTTCTCCTCCTCCTCCTCCTCCTCCTCCTCATCATCATCATCATCATCAGCATCATAATCATCATCATCAGCATCATCATCATCATCAGCATCATCATCATCAACAGCATCAGCATCAGCATCATGATCAGCAGCATCAGCATCATCATCATCACCATCAGCAGCAGCATCATCATCACCACCATTATCATCATCATCATCGGCATCATCAGCATCATCATCATCATCATCAGCAGCATCCTCATGCTCATCAGCAGCATCAGCAGCATCATCATCAGTATCCTCATCCTCATCCTCATCCTCATCCTCATCATCAGCATCAATACGCGATCGGGCATTTTGGTGCGTGATCGCCTGAACGCTCATGCCTGAGGATACCTTCAAAGGAACACTGTCATCTCTTGGGGGCGCATGTTTAACCTCCGCTTGCTTTCACTGGCCCTCCGCCAGCTTCCGCCCCGCCGCCGTTCTACTTCCACCAGCTCCCGCCGACCTTCCGCGGGCTTCCGCCGAGGAAGAGGTTCGAACTCCATCGCTGCTCGAAGGAAAGGCCCTGTCCCCAGATCTCCAACGTCATGATTTGTTTCATGGCGTGGACCCACGGAGGTCTCGACCCATTCCCGGGGACTCGTTTTTCATCCAGTCGTTGACGGTCCTGGGGCCAGGCGAAGGCCCTCAGAGGCCAAAAATTGCCGAAAACGAACTTCCTGTCGTGATTGTTCCGCGATTCGAAGGGGCCTGGGCCTGGGTCTGGAGCGCCCCCTGCAGCGCCGACGCGAGTGGCAGACCTGTCCTTCCCGCTGGCCCAACCTCCTCCTGGGCCCCGCCCTGCCACGGCGGTGGTCGCCTCAGCTCCAGGAAAATCGCGGGCCGCAGAATCCCTGGCGGCTTCGCGCGCGCGCACCGCCGGGCGGTCGCAAGGGAGGAGGAGGACCAGTGCAAACCCAAGACTCATCAACGATATTACAATGAAATTCACCCCAAGGTCCCTCCTTATAGGCCCCTACACGGACCCATTTCCACTGTGGGAAATGCCCCGTTGGAAGAGAAGCGTTTGAAAATCCTGAACTGTGCCAGAACAGCATTCTTGGGAATTCAACGCCAAGAATCAGCCTTCCTGCTGCGTCTTGACGATCCTGAATCGTGACAGAATTCTATTCCTGGGATTTCAACACTGCGAATCAACGTAACTGTTTCGCCCTGACAGCCATACATCCTTCCAGAACAGAATTTCTCAGACGTAAACCATGACAACCCGTGAACCTCATGCGAAGACTCAAAACGAATATGCGCGGCGCTAACGCAAGAACCAAATGTTTAAGAAGGAATGCCCTCCATCCGTGAAGCTCCTGCATGTCTTGGGGCGAAATTGCGCGGCGCTCAGGCAAGAACCACGTTTTGAAAAGGAGCCGCACCCCATCCGTGAAACTCTTGCACTGAAGTCTCAGGCGACACGCCCGGCCCGCCCTACCGACACGTCTCGGCGTGCAACAGGGAAGAGCCATTCAGAAGGAGAAGAAATGGACGAGTGAGGAAAGAGGAGGACGAGGACAAGATTAAGGAGGACGACCGAGGGGAGGAAAAGGGCGGGAAGAAGAGAGGAAGAGGAGGAGGAGGAGGATGACGAGACTCCAGGGCCCGGGTTCTCCTGAAGGTCCTCGTCCTCGTCGTCGTCGTCGCTGTCCTGCGGTGGTTTCTGGGATGTCGGCCATGTGGGGCCTGCGCTGTAGTTTTGCTGTGAAGGGTGCCCTCCGCGCGCCCGCCCATAATCATCGTCGTCGTCATCGTCATCATCATCATCATCACCACCACCACCACCATCATCATCATCATCATCATCATCATCATCATCATCATCAGCATTATCATCAGCATCAGCATCAGCATCAGTATCAATAGCATCGTCATCACCATCAGCATACAAATCAGCATCGTCATCGTCATCGCCATCATCATCATCATCGCCACCAGCATCAGCATCGTCATCATCATCAACCTCATCATCAACCTAGAATCCCGTATCCTCGTCATGATCATCATCATCATCATCATCATCATCATCATCATCATCAGGATCATCCTCCTTATCCTCAGCGTCGTCATCATCACTATCATCATCATTAGTAGCATAGTCATCACCTTCGTCACTATCAATAAGCATCGTCATCATCAGTATCATCATCGTCAGTATCACCATCATCATCATCAGCAGCAGCATCATCAGCTGCAGCAGCCGCAACAGCAATTTCATCAGCAACAACATCAGCATCAGCATCAGCATCAGCATCATTATCCGTATCGTCACTCGCATCGTCATCGTCATCGTCATCATCACCATCCCCATCAGCATCACCATCATCAGCATCATCGCCGTCATTATCATCATCAGAACTGTCATAATCAGTACCATCATCATCATAATCAGCAGCGTCGTCATCCTAATCAGCGATATCATCAGCATGATCATCATCATCGACGTAGGCATCGTCATCGTCATCATCATCGTCGCCATGGTCATCATCATCATCGTCATCACCATCAGAACCACCACAACCACCACCACCATCATCGTCGTCATTCACCTTAACATCAACACCATCACCATCATCATATGTAACATTTTCACCGTCGTCATTAGCAGCACCTTGGTCATAAGCATCGCAAGTATACTCATAGCCGTCCTCGCCCCTATCAGCATCCATCACCAGCATAAGTATCAGCATGGTTATCGCAATCGCCATCGTCATCATCATCATGGCCATCACGATCATAATGATCCTCCTCATTACCATAATCATCACCCCCATCATTGTCATCGTCGTGGCTGTGTGTGTGTGTGTTCGAGGGGATCGTGGTTGGAATCGGCACCAGTTGGCTGCGGTCCAGCAGGAATGGTTCGGGATGGCTGGAATCCGTCCCCCGGGATGGCTGGAATCCGTCCCCCTTCCCCCCCCCCCCAAGCAGGAAGAGGGAAAGCCGACGCCGCTGCCATCGTCTCGGCCAAGGGGCAGGCGGCGATCCTCGCCCATGGCGTGGTGCCGCTGCGCTTCGGCGCCCTTCGGCGCCCAGTCTCCAGCCCGGGGAGAGATCCGTTGAGCAGGGACCGACCGTCCCAGCACTCCTATAGGCCTACCATAAAATGTTCTTAGAACCCAAAACTGTTCTAAGAACAAAAACAATGTGCTTAGAACATAAATCCGATGTGATAAAACAAGATAGACTCCGACAGAAATGTTCGAAGCACACTTCGTGGAAACCACAAAAGGTTCTTAGAACATTGTTTGGTAGGGCAATAGGCGAGCCAGGACGCTTCGCCACTGCTTGAATCCGTGGGGGTCCCAGAGCGGTGCGGTGACAGAGACCGTGCGGAGCCTCCGAGCTCTGGATAGACCTCACCGCACGATTCCGCCACCGCACCTCTCTGGGACCTCGGCGGCCGCAGGCGCCCGAGGACATCCTCGGAGAAAGGCCCCAGCCCCATAGAACCGGGAGGCCACCACGAAGCCCCGCTGACCCACCACGAGGTGTGGTCACACCGCTTGGAGGCCCCCGAGCATTGAGGACCTCCTCGCCAGGGGTGGCCCCACAGCTGGCCATCGCTCGGACGTCCATTCCCTGTGTTGTTTTCGGTTTCGTGCGCGGTTTTTTCGCAGGATGATCCAGGATGCTCCTCAATGATCCCCGCCGAGAAAAATGCACAGGTCCAAGCGATACCAAGCCAGTGGCGGTGGCGCCGCCCCACCGTCCTCCGACACGGGCCCCACCGCCCACCCACCCGGCGAGGCGGCGGGAATGCGTGGCAGCGCACCCGGCACTTCGACGACGCAGCTGCCGGCTAAGACCAGACCAAGACCAGGACAGGACCGGACCAGAATACATCAGGGACCTCTGAGATTTGGTGGCTCTGGAAGGCCATTCTTCAATAGCGCTCCAGAACGTTCTGCAACGATCTGTGGCCCCGCCCGACCTCGGACATCCGCCGATGTGATTTGTTGAGTCCGCGGCCCTATTGGTCCCGACCCTTCCCCGGGGGTAGCTTTTCTGGACCCAGCTCAATGCGCCATTGCCCCTGGGGCCCAATGACGGCCCCCTGAGGCCGACATGGAAGAGAAAAGCCCGTGTTGCATAAACTACACCGCTGGAGGCCTGGGCATCCAACCCGAGCGCCGGCTCCCAGATCTGTGCAGAAGGTCCAGGAGAGCCCCACCACGGTCCCAGGAGACCCCCAGGCTGCCCCAGAAAGTCTCCAGCAGCTCAATGAGGCCCCAAGAAGCCGCCAGAGTGCACAGGACTTCCAAGAGGACCAAATCAGTCAAAAACCAAAAGAAATCCCAACGTGTGTTCTTTTCTTTTCTGGAGTTCCCATTCGTTGCCGACGCGTGGCTCCAAGATGGCCTCGGAGGCCCAAGCGGTCCCGCAGAGAATCACAAGATTGCCCAAGGATAGTCAAGGACTGCCGCGAGTCCGAAGTCTCAGGGCGACTTCAGACACCAAGACGCGCGTGTCCACGCCAAGGACCCGATAATGTGGGCACGGTCCCTCTGACGCGCTATACGATTGGCATTATGGCAGCTTGAATTCGAATGCGCGCGAAGCGCGCTCGATGGTTTAATAAAATCAGTATGTGCATACACGCATATAAACATAGAAATACAAAGGACTGCCCGAACAGTTTCCCACCAGGGACCTTGAGACCCAATCCTCCGACTCGATTTTTTCGAGCCGCTGGCTTGGAGGTTGCAGCAAGCGCTCCTGGCCCAGCATGCATGCCCCCAAATCCCCGCACGACACCACTGCCTCCGGGGACCTCTGGGCCTCGTGAGGGGTGCTCCCGGAGGCCTCCGGGGCCTCCCCGGGAAAGCTGGGGCCACACGGGGCCAGGGCCCCCTCCGGCAGCTGCCGTGTCGGCGGCCACTTGGATCCAGGCAGCGGCAGGCATGGGGCAACAGCGGGGCGCAGCGAAGCAACGGAAGGCACAGAAGCGACGGGAGAGGGGCAGAGAGGAGGGAGGAGGACGTGGAGAGGCCGCGCGTGGCGCAGGGGCCCCCGGTCACCCCTGGCAAGACCTCGCTGTTGTCCTGCGGCCCCGGGGCACCGAAGAAGCCCCCGGATATCACCGCCGCCCTCATGAGATAGCGCCTCCAGGGCCTGCAGCATCCTGGGCGCATTCCTCAGCCAACGCCCACACCGTATGGGAAGGTCGATGGATCTGTTGGGCGCGCTCCCTGAGCACCGACCCTCCCCCCTCGCGATGGGCCAGTGGGCCGCCGTGCGTCCCAGCCGCGCCCATGCTCCTTGCCGCCCCCCCGAGTCTCCAGAGCTCCTGCCGTCCTTCTGCTCGTCCTGCTCCTTCCTCGTCTTCCTCCTGCTCCTCCCGAGAGTTTCCAAACCACGCCACCCTTTTACTCCTCCTCCTCCTCCTCCTCCTCCTCCTCCTCCTCCTCCTCCTCCTCCTCCTCCTCCTCCTCCTCCTCCTCAGCATCATCCCCCTTCTCCTACTCCTCATTCTCTCCTTCTCATCCTCCTCTTTTTCCTACAGTATTGTCTCCCTCCTCTGAAAATTGCTTGTCTGCTATTATCCTCCTCCTCACCCTTCTCCTCCAACTCCTGAGCCTCCCCCTCTGAGCTTCCAAGGACCGCTATCGTCCTCATCCGAATCCTGGAGCCGTTCCTTGGTCTCGGATCCGTCGCCTGCTGCACCCATATAGCTTCATCTTGTTCAAAGCACGTTCCACGCTGATTGCATCATCGCTCGATGATCGCCGCAAAGCAGGCCCCATTCAACCAGCAACGACACCAACCATGACGATCGTGTCGAGCATCGTCGATGAATCCGCGGCGCGCTGAACGAGTACGGGTCAGCAAACACATAGTAAACTGGTAGACAGGAGGAGGAAGAGTGCGACGAGTGCAGGACTTGCCTCTTGAGTACGATCCGGTGCGGTCCGGGGGGGAGGCGGGGAGGGCAAATGGCGGGAGGGAAACCGTGAGGGGTGAAGGATGCGGACTGCACCCTTGGGCGACGATGGCAAGCTCCTCCCTTTCCCCCACCTTCCTGTCCTTCTCCTCTGTCTCCTCCTCCTCCTCCTCCTCCTCGTCCTCCTCCTCCTCCTCCTCCTCGTCCTCCTCCTTCTCCTCCTCCTTCTCCTCCTCCTGCTCCTCCTCCTCCTCCGCCTCCTCCTCCTCGGTCCAGCCGCCCCCCCCCCTGCTCGCAACACATCTGGCCTGAGGCGAAATAGAAGACAAACTGGGCCCAGATCATCAGCTTCACGCCGACCCCGACGTAGAGGTTCTGCTCAGCACTGGTCTGGTTGTCGTAGCACGAGTTGCAGCACCCTCGCACGCTGGCGCTGCGGACAGAAGAATTGACAGCTGAAGCCAGTCGCAGGGATGAGGCGGAGGGCGAAGAGGAGGGGGGGAGGAGGAGGAGGAGGAGGAGGAGGAGGAGGAGGAGGAGGAGGAGGAGGAGGAGGAGGAGGAGGGGGCGAGGAGGACGGGGGGAGGAGGAGGCACAGCGTTGCATGCCGAGTCTGCCTCAGAGAGCCCAAATGAGGCCCCGATCTGCTGCTGGTCACGCTATGACGGAGAGCCGACGCCTCCAGGAGCGAGCCCTGCCTGCCTCGAAGGAAGAGGGAGGGGGAGGGGGAGGGAGGAGGGAGGGGTAGGAGGGGGAGGAGGAGGAGGAGGAGGAGAAGGACGAGGAGGAGGAGGAGGAGGAGGAGAAGGAGGAGGCGGACCAGTGCAAACCCATGACGCATCGACGATATCACAATGACCCCTCCCTCCAAATTCCCTGTTCGCAGGTCCCTACAAGAATGTATTCCTCAGTGCGGGAAGTACCCCAATGGACCGTGCCGACACCATTCCTGGAACTTCAGCGCCGCGAACCAATGAGACTGGTGCGTCCTGACAAACCTGAATCGTGACAGGGCACCGTCCCTGGGACATCAACACCGCGAATCAACGCGACTGCTGCGCCCTGGCAAACCTGAATCATGCAAGAAACCTAGCACTGAGACTTTCACCTGCAAGCATTGAAGTCGAGCGCGTGCGGCGCAAAAGCCGTGAGCGACCATTTGAAACAAATTGCCCTTGATGTTTGAAACCACTGTAGACTTTCTGGGTGAATGTGCGCGGCGCACAAGCTAGAACCACTGTTTGAAAAGGATCCGCCCTCCATGCGTGACAGTGTTGCAATAAAGCAAGCCGAATGTGCGCTGCGCTGAGGCGAGGGCCACACGTTGAAAACCACCGTGGGTCTGCTGCAACCTTTTAAGACGAATGCACGCTGCGCTAAGGCGAGAGCCGCATGTTGAAAACGGCCGACGGTACATTCGTCAGACTGCTGCAAACGTTGGAGGCGAATTTGCGCGGCGCTCAGGCGAGAGCGACAACTTGAAAAGAAACCGCCCTCCATGCTTGAGATTGCTGCGAACTTGCAGAGCGAATGCGCGCGGCGCTCAGGCGAGAGCCACTATTTGAAAAAGGACCGACCTGCATCTGTGAATGCGCACTGCGCTAAGGCGAGAACCACATTTTGAGAACCACGCTGCAAACGTTGCAAGACGAATATGCAACGGCGCTAACGCGAGAGTCACATTTTGAAACTGGCCCGCCGTCCATTGGGGGCGAGCGTGCGCGGCGCCGAGGCGAGAGCAACACATTGAAAACGAACCGCCCTCCAGGCTTGAAACCCATGCGAGCTTTCGAGACGCAAGCAAACGGTGCTCAGGCGGGAGCCACAGTTTGAAAAGGAGCTGCCCTCCGTCTGTGATGCTGCTGCAGACCTTCGGGTCGAACGTGCCCTGCGCTCCGGCGAGGGCTGCCTTACGAGAGCTACCTGCCCTCCAGACGTGGCACTGCTGCAACCTTGGCAGACGAGCATGCGCGGCGCCAACGCGAGAGCCGCATCCTGAAACCGCCCAGATGGTGAGGACGCCTAGAGCGAAACGCCTGGCCCGCCCTGCCGACACGTCTCGGGGTGCGACAGGGAGACTTCTGAATGAGGAAAAGGGATGGAGGAGGAGGGGGGGAGGGGGAGGAGCACGAGGGTCGTTAACCCCAATGTCCGAGCAACAACAAAAAAGGAGCACGAGGAAGAGGAGGAGGAAGGATGTGGGAAGGTGTAGGAGAAGGAGGTGGACGAGGAGGCAGAGTAGGAGTAAGGGACGAGAAGGAGAGAGTGGGGAGAAGGAGGGGCGGAGGAAGGAGGAGGGAGAGGTAAAGGTGGAAGCGCAGCAGTCCAAGAAAGGTGCAGCGCCAATTTCGCATACAAGAGGACAACAGCGAGGACCTCGAACAAAATGGCTGAACCCTCGCACAAGAGGGCCAGCTGGAACACGGGTACAGAATTCTCGGCACGGAACCAGCGACAGAGGGCACCGCGCGAAACGCGGTCAAACAGAAACCCGCCGCCCCCGACGGCAACGCGGGGGAACGGTCGAAATGGGCGCGGATGGAGGAGGTTGCAAAAGAACTGTTTAGGAATGAGCTTTCTGCCGAGGGGCCGGATTCTGGAATCTGCGCTGGACTCCCCCACCCAGACCCCTTTTCTTCTTTTTGCCGCTCAGGCTGGCGGCGGGGAGGGGTCCAGCACCTCGAAAAGCTCCTGCTCGAGTCTTTGCTTGGACCTCAGAGGAAAGCACGATGCGGCAGACGCAAGAAGCACACACGAGTAGTCCTGGTGAGTCCCTCCGACAGAGCCGGCGCTATGTTCCCACCCGCCCCTCAGGACGTAGGTGGTTTAGGGCGCATCCTCTTCCAACCCACTACTCACAGCAGGCTCCTCCTCCTCCTCCTCCTTCTCCTCCTTCTCCTCCTCCTCCTCCTCCTCCTCCTCCTCCTCCTCCTCCTCCTCTGCCTCCTCCTCCCCCCCCTCCTCCTCCTCCTCCCCCCCCCCCCTTTTTGTCCGCGGGGAGGGCCGCCGCCGCAGCCTCCAGAAGGAGGCCGAGGTTCCGGGCGGCGCCCCCAGCTTCGCAGCAAGCGGCGCCGTCTGCAGCTCGAAGGCGCCCAGGGCCTCCGACGGGCCGCGCTCGCGAGGCTCGAGCACCGCCCGCGCCGACGCGGCGCCCACTCCCTCGCCGCCGAGTCACGCAGCGGGCGACTCGCGGGGCGGGGGGGCGCCGGCGGGGCGGGCGCCGCCCGCGGACGGCCCGACAGCGCGCGGCCGCGGGCGCGCCGCGGGCAGCTCGTCCACACAACTGTGGTCGAGCTCGCTGGCAGCCGCCTCCGCCGCGTCCATCCTCTCGGCGACGCCGGCGCCGGCAGCGCGGGCGCGCCGGCAGCGCGCGCGGCCGCGTCTGCGCCGAGGCGCCGGGGCGCCTCGAGGCGGCAGACCGGCCGCGGTAGCATCCGAGATCCGAGGGGCCGACTCCAGCAGCGCCAAGAAGAGGAAGGGCGTCGGTCGGGAGCTGGCCGCAGGGCCCGCTCGACAGGTCGACGATCGCCGCCCAGAGCAGGCCCTCCGCAGCCCTCAAGAGGCGCGCCCCATTACGGGACACCCCCATCGCGGGACCGGCGGCCGCGCGCGCAGCCAGGAGGGCGCCGCGATCGGCCTCGAGGGCCCAACGGCGCGCGTCGACCATCGCGGGCATCAGAACGGCCGCGGGCCTGCCACGCGTGCCGTGAGATCCCAGTTTGAGCCCGAGCGACTGTGTGTGTGTGTTGTGTTGTGTTGTGTTGTGCTGTGCTGTGTTGTGTTGTGTAATGTTGTGTTGTGTAGCGCCGCGTCGTGTGGCGTCGCGTCGCGTCGTGTCGCGTCGCGTCGTGTCGCGTCGCGTTATGTCGCGTCGCGTCGCGCCGCGCCGCGCGCGTCGGGCCCTCTGGGGCCGCGCCCAGCAGCCAGCCGAAACTGCGCTACAAACCGTGGCGCGAATGGCAGACTATAGACACACCCCAATGGGCGCCAGGTCTCCTTCCTCTACAGCGCCCCCGATCTGGAAGGCCTAGGGCGCGGCCACCGACGCCGATCACGGCCCTGCGGACCCAGCGCCCGAGCCGCTTCGGGCCTGCGTGCACCGCAGGTGCGAGCCCGCGCTATGTCCAGAACCCAGGAGCCCATGGAGCCCGACCAGCCCACGCACGCAGCGAGCCACCCGAGATCCCGAGGCCCCAGGACGAGGCGCCCAGGCGCGCACCCGAGGCGAGGTGCAATTTTGTTCACCAGATTATCACGCCGAGCTCCCCCGCCTCTCTGAGCAGGCGTGCAATCGCCCCAAGGCTGGCGAGGACCAAAGCACTCGGCGGCGATGCTCTTCGCGCCGCGCCTGGCCGACGCGCGTGCCCCGCACATCCTGCGCAGACTGAACTGCTCGCGCGACCATCTCGCGCCCCTGATCACGCGCGATCGACCTCCCTCCCGCCCTCCGCCCACCCTCGCCAGCAGCGGCGGCAACCGACGCGCGTGGGGGGGGGGGATCAGGCATGTAGTAACTCGCCGCCGACGCAACGCCCGCCTGGCCCGCGGCGGCAGGCTCGGCGCGCGGCGCTGGCCCATCACTGCCCGCCAACAAGGCCCGGGCGCCAGCGTCACTCACCGCCGCTGTCAGCGTCGCGCGGTGTGCTCGCTGGGCCCAGCGAACCTGTTGGCGGCAGCCATCCTGCCTGCTCCTCTTTGCAGCCTGGCATTCCGCGGCCCGCGCGCGTCGTGCGCGGCGGCCATCTGGTCGACCGCCGGCGTCGCCTGTCTTCGGGCCACCGCCTGTCCCCGACGGCGTCTCGCCTCGAGGCGCCTGGGCCCGTTGTGTTTCAGGTGCGCCGATCCGCTCCGCCAGCCCGCTCAACTCTTGCAGGGCGGCCCCTGGCCTTCTGCGAGACAACCGCGCGGCGGCCGCGGCCGCGGGGCCGCGGGCCACCGCCCGCGCCGGCGCCGGCCCAACCGGAGGGGCCGCCATGGCCACGGGCGGAACGGAAGGTCCAGAGCGGGCGGGCGCGAAGGCGGCATCGGCCAACGGCGGCGGGCCAGCCGTGCACATACTTCGGACGACGCGACGCCCGCAGCCCCGCGCCTGCCGAGCGTCGGCCGCCAGGGCAGCACGGCCAGCGGCGGAAAGCCAGCCGTGCCCCGACACTCTTGACAGGCTGCTTCGACCAACGAGGCGCCCCGAGTCCAGCGCCCGTTCTTCGCCATTCTGCGCGGAGGCAGCGGGCGCTCGGCCGTTCGGGGTCCTGTCCCACCAGAATCTACGGCAGGCCCACACTCCGCAGCTCTCGATCCTCTGGTTACCTCCTCCTGGGTTGCCCAGAATGGCCTCGCCGGCAGTCATAGCCGCAGCCGTTGTGACCGTAAGCAACGCACCAATGGCTGGCTTGGTACTGTTGTCTACGCCGCTGACCTC